GAGAAGACAGACATGTAGAGAGAGACAGACATGTAGAGAGAGACAGACATGAAGAGAGAGAAGACATGTAGAAGAGAGAATGAAGAGAGAAACCAGGACCATTGAAAGAGAGAGCAGACATTAGAGAGAGACAGACATGAGGAGAGACAGACATGTAGAGAGAGACAACATGAAGAGGGAGGAGACAGGCATGTAGAGAGAGACAGACATGAAGAGACAGACGAGGTGTCATAGGGTGGGGGGGGGCTACCTGGTTAAAGCTGAATGCGGTGCTGGCAGTCAAGTCCTCTTCCCACAGCGGTTCAGGGGTCTCTCCAGGAAGGAAGAAGATCAGGAAGCAGTGAGGAGTGCCTGAGGAAGCACGAGTGGAGGTCACCTGTTTCTGCTGTCCCCTGATCCCTAAACAATGAGTCCAGAGGTCAGAGGTCAAGTCACTGGAGGATGAGGGGGTAGGGTCTGGATGTCGGCTACCTGGAGAGTTTCTTCAGTCCTCTGGTCTGACAATGTTTGGGCTGAGAGCCCCTGATGCATTCTGGCAGGTGAAAGCTAAGCAGTCTGCAATCCGCTGAGGAAAGGTTCTGCTGCACACAACTCACACACCACACACACACACACACACATACAGACTCAACACCAACCACCACCACACAAAAACACACATACAGACACACACACACACACACACAAACACCAGTTTTATGATTGGTCTTAACTGTGAAGGAAAAAGGTCCAGGTCAAACAATCACTAACCTCGCTCCCCCAGCTGTGTCCTTCTCCTCCTCTTCCTTTCCTCATCAGGACAATACTCTTCATCCTGACGAGTCTTCAAAAATCCCTCCTCGAGATCCAATGTCAACGAACTGAGGAAGGCTGTAGGGAGACAGTCAGTGAAGACAGACAGTCAGACAAGACAGACAGTCAGAAGACAGTGAGGACACGCAGACAGTCAAGTGAGACCAGACAGTGGAGACCAGAAGTCAGAAAGACCGACAGACAGTTGAGACAGTCAGTCAGCAGTGAGAAGAAGTCAGAAGACAGACAGACAGTGAAGACAGACAGACCAGTCAGTGAGAAGAACAGTTGAGACAGACAGTCAGACAGACAGTCAGCAGACCAGGTCAGTCCAGATAGGATAGATAGTGAGAAAGACAGGACCAGACTTGATGACATGGTTTAACCTTGTCTTGGGTTCACTGCTGGAACAGACTCCAGGTCAAAGGGTGGCTGTGAAACTCACAGACAGACAGTCAGACCGACAGAACGACAGACAGACAGACAGACAGACAGGCAGAATAAATAGACATGTTTATGGTAAAGTATCCAGAGAGGAATTCTGGGAGGTTGAGTTCACCTGTCCCTGCTGGACGGCTGTTTTCAGTCTGGACCAGAGTCCATCTTGGGGTTCCTGATGGAAAAACAGACAAGACAGACAGGGCAGACAGGCAGACAGACGGAACACAGGCAGACAGACCAGACAGACAGACAGAAGGCAACAGACAGACAGGCAGACAGACCAGGGCCAGACAGCAGCAGACAGACAACGTAAGGGCATAAAGACAGAGACAGGGCAGACAGACAGACAGACAAAAGACCAGACAGGCAGACGACAAAGACAGACAGACAGAAGACCCAGGCAGACAGAAGACCAGACAGACAGACAGGCCAAGACCAGACCAGACAGACAGAAAGCAGAAAGACAGACACTTATCAAGACATGATTTTAATAGTTTTCTTCCAGTGAAAATGAATATGTGATATAAAGTATTTTCTATTCTATATGAGCGTATGGCGATGCTGGCTCTACCAGGAGCTCCAACAGTTTAATGTTTATATAAAATATGAATTCATTCCAGATCAAAAAGTTTACAAGAAAACTTATTTTGTTTCTACCTGTCCCAAGAAACAAAGTGAAAGCAAGCAAGAAGACAAAGACGACATGAACACTCACAAACATGGGGAGGTTCTGTGTCTCTGATTGCAAGCTTTCAATCCATGGCAACCACCACGCTCAAGTGCGGGTAATCACCTCGCTACAGTAGAAACACCCGTTAGACCAGTTAGTAAAGAAAGTTTAACGTGTGTGTGTGTGTTGTGTTGTGTGGTGTGTGTGTGTGTGTGTGTGGTGGTCTCACGTGCCAGGATGGGGCCCGCACGTTGCTGGACGTCCAAAAAAAAAAAAAAAGGATTGTGCTGTTTGGACTTTCTGTCCAAGTCGGATGTCCAGTCTCCCCCAGTTTCATCCTCGGGCTGGACTCACCCTGGTTCTCCAATGGTGACATACCACCGCCCCCACCCCACCATACCTGAGCAGGAGACAGAAGAGGCTTCACCACCTGGCTCCGCCCTACCACCCAGGTGAATTCAAGGGCCGAAACTTTATGTGTTGATGTTTTTTTATTTACCCTGAAACTGTTTTTCTGTTCGTTCAGGCAACGTCCTGTGTGAGTGTGCTCGCTGACTTTCCTGTCAAGTCCTCAAAACATTTAGAAGACTGCCAGAGGACACGACGTCTTCTTCAGCCGCACGCCGCTCTCGTCTGCTGGAACAGCAGAGCGAAAGATCATACGCGCAAGTGATCAAATACCATAGTGATCAATACATCCAGTGATCAATACACCAGTGATCAATACCCGACCAAAGGATCAATACCCATCAGTGATCTATACGCTACCAGAGATCAATACCATCCAGTGATCATACACGCAAGTGATCAATAGCCACCCAGAGATCAAATACGGCAAAATCCAAAGAGTGATCAATACCAACCAAGGATCAATAGCCACCAGAGATCAATACCAACCAGTGATCAATACCATCAGTGATCATACCACCCCAAGTGATCAATACCACCAAGTGATCAAATACCACCAGAGATCAATACGCATCACAGTGTCAATACCACGCAAGTGATCATACGCATCAGTGATGCAAATACACCCAAGTTGATCAATACCATCCAGTGATCAATACAGACCCAGACATGTTTATCAGACTGCTTTCACAAAACACGTGTCTAAGTGATACAGTGTCGTAGTACAGTGTGTGTAAAGTGTGTAGTGACAGTGTGTGGTATAGCAGTGTGTGTACATGTGTGTAGTAAAGTGTCGTAGTACGATGTGTGTACAGTGTGTGGTTAGCAGTGTTAGGTACAAGTGTGTAGTAGGCAGTGTGTGTACAGTGTTGTGTAGCAGTGTGTGTACAGTGTGTAGTACAGTGTGTTGTACAGTGTGTGTACAGTGGGTGTAGTACAGTGGTGTAGTACAGTGTGTGTACAGTGTGTTGTAACAGTGTGTAGTAATGTGTAGTACAAGTGTGTGTACAGTGTGTAGTACAGTGTGTGTACAGTGTGGTGTACAGTGTGTGTACAGTGGTGTAGTAACAGTGTGTAGTAAATGTGTGTGTACAGTGTGTAGTACAGTGCGTGTAGTACAGTGTGTGTAAACAGTGTGTGTACAGATGTGTAGTACAGTGTGTAGTACAGTGTGTGGTAACAGTGTGTAGTACAGTGTGTGTACAGTGTGTATACAGTGTAGTGTCACCAGTGTGTAGTACAGTGTGTAGTACCGTGTGTAGTACAGTGTGTGTACAGTGTGTAGTAACAGCTGTGTAGTACAGTGTGTCTGTACAGTGTGTATGTAGCGTGTGTAGTACAGTGTGTAGCTAACAGTGGTGTGTACAGTGTGTAAGTACAGTGTGTGTAACAGTGTGTAGTAGCAGTGTGTGTAGCAGTGTGTAGTAGCAGTGTGTGTAGCAGTGTGTGTAACTCTACATGTCTGTCTCTCTCTACCTCAGTCTCTGGACAGAAAGGCCGTTGATGCTGCTGCTACTGCTGATGATGATGATGATGATGATGATGATGATGGTGGTGGTGATGAAGGCTCCAGCTGTTTGGCATACCGCACGCGCTCCAAAGTCCGTCTGGTTAATATTCCTCTGGGTCAGCTGGAGGCGGAGCTTCTGGCCCCTGACATCACAGCTGACATGTACGAGCAGAGCGCTGCCCGGCGGAAGGGGAGCCGTCAGTGGACGAAGTGGCTTCAGGGTCTCATGGCCCCCGACAATGAAGGTCAGAGGTCAGGCTGACAGCAGCCTGTCAAAATAAAAGTCCATCTCATTTCATCACTTTGTTCTTCTTTTCACATAAAAAACATCAGGAAAACTTTATTATCCATCAGTAACTGGCACTGAGTCATGTGTTTGAACCAGTTTGATTCAGTTTGATTAACACACACACACAAATGACTAATAATAATTAATAAAAAATTATCATATATATGTGTGTTTGGTCAAAGTTCCAGTGATATTCCCGACCAGGTCTGCTGTTCTCCACAGAGTGCCAACCAGAGACAGATCTGAACAAACAGGTAGTGTGAGTTTTGTTTATGTTGACTGAACTGTGTGTATTCTCAGAGGAAGCTGATGATGATGACGATCCAGAGTACAACTTCCTGGAGGACCTGGATGAACCTGACCTGGAGGACTACAGGACGGATCGGGCCGTCCAGATCACCAGTAGGTGTTGAGGACTGGTTACTGGTTGAGACTCGTTGTTGTTGTCCCCTCAGTTTGAACAGGGTTTGGATTTCTAACCAACACTGTATTTTTTTATTTATTTATTTATTTTTTTTACAGAGAAGGAAGTGAACGAGCTGCTGGACGAGCTCTTTGATACAGTGAGTGAATTTAAATTAATTAATAAATAAATAAATGATGTGTTACTGCTGCCTTCTAACAGTGGACTGAACCATCAGTCTCTGACAGTCTCAGTGGAACCAAACCAACATAAAACTGCGTTCAGGAGCTGCTTCTTGTCACCGGGACCAAAGTATCAGAGGATTGTTGCAACACGGACCCTTTCTCTTGTAACACAGGAAGTCTCTTACCGGTGCACTGCTGCATATGCTAACTGTACTAGCTGCTATTAGTTAGTTAGCGGTCCTATTAGCTGTCTGTACCCGGACTGAGAGCTGGTAGGACAGGGGGAGTTTGTTTACACCATATGCGGACTGAGAACTGGGGGACTGAGAACTGTGAGCACTTTTACATTCCTCAGAGCTTTTTTCAGCACTGACTGAACTTTCGTCTAAAGTAAACAAACAATTTTGTCTTTTTCATATTTGAAACCTATTAAATCTTTGTCAGTACAGTTCCTCCTTGTTAGTTTTAAGGAGTCTGGACGTCACTTTGGGTTGCTTAGTTCAGGCACTGTTGGTCAACAAGGCTGTTTCATGTGTTCATGTGACGCTGACATCTGTTTACTGTACAGCTCCAGGAGGAGGAGCAGGAGGAGGAACAGGAAGAGGAGGCCCCATCACAGACTGGACCCAAATTCAACGTCCCCCAGGCCTTACGGTAACCTGCACAGAGTGTGTTCACTGTGTCCTGATAAAGGATAGTCAGGGTTAAACACAATCTACACAAAATGACATCCATACAAATGTCTTATGAACAGCTTAGTTGTTTATGAGGGGTTAGAAAAAATACGGTACCGGTATCGGGCATGAGGAAGTGGTATCGAAACAGGGATGTTGATCCTCCTATTGGGACGGTGCAGCAGAGAAGTGCTGTGACTGTTTGGGTTGGGAGGAAGAGAAATTGCCTCTGTTGCTGCTTCTTTTCACACAGAACATATGAAGAAGAATCCAGCTCAGAGGAGACATCCTTACTTCATTTTAGGCTCCGCCCCGTACCAGTTCAGATATGTTATAATAAAAATGTCCTGCTTTAAAAAACCTGTTCAAACTCAGCTTGTGTGTGTCCTGGCCCCCAATAGGGGTCACCAAAGCTTCACAAGGGGTTAAGAGACCTTGATTTTTTGGGGGGGCTTTTTATTGCCTTTAATTGATAGAGACAGCTGAAGGTAGACAGGAAAAGGGGGGCAGAGAGAGAGAATGACACGCAGCAAAGGGCCGTAGGTCAGACTCGAACCCTGGGCTGCTGCAGCAAGGACTCAGCCTCAGTACATGGAACGCCAGCTTTACCAACTGAGCTAACCAGGCGCCCCACATTCTTGGTTTTTAGGGGTCTAAGAAAACTTTTAAAATATACTCAGTAGGCCTATATCTCAATATTTCATTGATTTCTGTGAATAAAACGAACTGAAATTATTGTTTTTAAAGTGAATATTATTATTGAAGATCTAAACAGGATGAAGATGTGATCACAGTGTTCAGTGTACAGAGCTTCAGTCTCCGATCAACAGCCTCGTCCTGCATCAGAAGGGTTAGGGGATAGATCAATGAGAATAAACAGTGAA